CCTCCTTATCTGACCAGGACCAGCCCTCCTTATCTGACCAGGACCCTCCTTATCTGACCAGGACCAGTCCTCATTATCTGACCAGGACCAGCCCTCCTTATCTGACCAGGACCAGCCCTCCTTATCTGACCAGGACCAGCCCTCCTTATCTGACCAGGACCAGCCCTCCTTATCTGACCAGGACCAGCTCTCCTTATCTGACCAGAACCAGCCCTCATTATCTGACCAGAACCAGCCCTCCTTATCTGACCAGGACCAGCGCTCATTATCTGACCAGAACCCTCCTTATCTGACCAGGACCAGCCCTCCTTATCTGACCAGAACCCTCCTTATCTGACCAGGACCAGCCCTCCTTATCTGACCAGGACCAGCCCTCCTTATCTGACCAGGACCAGCCCTCCTTATCTGACCAGGACCAGCCCTCATTATCTGACCAGGACACTCCTTATCTGACCAGGACCAGCCCTCCTCATCTGACCAGAACCCTCCTTATCTGACCAGGACCAGCCCTCATTATCTGACCAGAACCAGCCCTCCTTATCTGACCAGAACCCTCTTTATCTGACCAGGACCAGCCCTCCTTATCTTACCAGGACCAGCCCTCATTATCTGACCAGGACTAGCCCTCTTTATCTGACCAGGACTCGCCCTCTTTATCTGACCAGGACCAGTCCTCCTTATCTGACCAGGACCAGCCCTCCTTATCTGACCAGGACCAGCCCTCATTATCTGACCAGGACCAGCCCTCCTTATCTGACCAGGACCAGCCCTCATTATCTGACCAGGACCAGCCCTCATTATCTGACCAGAACCAGCCCTCCTTATCTTACCAGGACCAGCCCTCCTTATATTACCAGGACCAGCCCTCATTATCTGACCAGGACCAGCCCTCATTAGCTGACCAGGACTAGCCCTCTTTATCTGACCAGGACTAGCCCTCCTTATCTGACCAGGACCAGCCCTCCTTATCTGACCAGGACCAGCCCTCCTTATCTGACCAGGACCAGCCCTCCTTATCTGACCAGGACCAGCTCTCCTTATCTGACCAGGACCAGCCCTCCTTATCTGACCAGGACCAGCCCTCCTTATCTGACCAGAACCAGCCCTCATTATCTGACCAGAACCAGCCCTCCTTATCTGACCAGGACCAGCGCTCATTATCTGACCAGAACCGTCCTTATCTGACCAGGACCAGCCCTCCTTATCTGACCAGAACCCTCCTTATCTGACCAGGACCAGCCCTCCTTATCTGACCAGGACCAGCCCTCCTTATCTGACCAGGACCAGCCCTCCTTATCTAACCAGGACCCGCCCTCATTATCTGACCAGGACCAGCCCTCATTATCTGACCAGGACACTCCTTATCTGACCAGGACCAGCCCTCCTTATCTTACCAGAACCCTCCTTATCTGACCAGGACCAGCCCTCATTATCTGACCAGAACCAGCCCTCCTTATCTGACCAGAACCCTCATTATCTTACCAGGACCAGCCCTCCTTATATTACCAGGACCAGCCCTCATTATCTGACCAGGACCAGCCCTCATTAGCTGACCAGGACTAGCCCTCCTTATCTGACCAGGACCAGCCCTCCTTATCTGACCAGGACCAGTCCTTCTTATCTGACCAGGACCAGCCCTCCTTATCTGACCAGGACCAGCTCTCCTTATCTGACCAGGACCAGCCCTCCTTATCTTACCAGGACTAGCCCTCCTTATCTTACCAGGACCAGCCCTCCTTATCTGACCAGGACCAGCCCTCATTATCTGACCAGGACTAGCCCTCATTATCTGACCAGGACCAGCCCTCCTTATCTGACCAGGACCAGCCCTCCTTATCTGACCAGGACCAGCCCTCCTTATCTGACCAGAACCAGCCCTCATTATCTGACCAGAACCAGCCCTCCTTATCTGACCAGGACCAGCGCTCATTATCTGACCAGAACCGTCCTTATCTGACCAGGACCAGCCCTCCTTATCTGACCAGAACCCTCCTTATCTGACCAGGACCAGCCCTCCTTATCTGACCAGGACCAGCCCTCCTTATCTGACCAGGACCAGCCCTCCTTATCTAACCAGGACCGCCCTCATTATCTGACCAGGACCAGCCCTCATTATCTGACCAGGACACTCCTTATCTGACCAGGACCAGCCCTCCTTATCTTACCAGAACCCTCCTTATCTGACCAGGACCAGCCCTCATTATCTGACCAGAACCAGCCCTCCTTATCTGACCAGAACCCTCTTTATCTGACCAGGACCAGCCCTCCTTATCTGACCAGGACCAGCCCTCCTTATCTGACCAGGACCAGCCCTCATTATCTGACCAGGACCAGCCCTCCTTATCTGACCAGGACCAGCTCTCCTTATCTGACCAGGACCAGCCCTCATTATCTGACCAGGACCAGCCCTCATTATCTGACCAGGACCAGCCCTCCTTATCTGACCAGGACCAGCCCTCCTTATCTGACCAGGACCAGCCCTCATTATCTGACCAGGACCAGCCCTCTTTATCTGACCAGGACTAGCCCTCTTTATCTGACCAGGACCAGCCCTCCTTATCTGACCAGGACCAGCCCTCCTTATCTGACCAGGACCAGCCTTCATTATCTGACCAGGACCAGCCCTCCTTATCTGACCAGGACCAGCCCTCATTATCTGACCAGGACCAGCCCTCCTTATCTGACCAGGACCAGCCCTCCTTATCTGACCAGGACCAGCCCTCCTTATCTGACCAGGACCAGCCCTCATTATCTGACCAGGACAAGCCCTCCTTATCTGACCAGGACCAGCTCTCCTTATCTGACCAGGACCAGCCCTCATTATCTGACCAGGACCAGCCCTCATTATCTGACCAGAACCAGCCCTCCTTATCTTACCAGGACCAGCCCTCCTTATCTTACCAGGACCAGCCCTCATTATCTGACCAGGACCAGCCCTCATTATCTGACCAGGACTAGCCCTCTTTATCTGACCAGGACTAGCCCTCTTTATCTCACCAGGACCAGTCCTCCTTATCTGACCAGGACCAGCCCTCCTTATCTGACCAGGACCAGCCCTCATTATCTGACCAGGACCAGCCCTCCTTATCTGACCAGGACCAGCCCTCCTTATCTGACCAGAACCAGCCCTCCTTATCTGACCAGAACCAGCCCTCCTTATCTGACCAGGACCAGCCCTCATTATCTGACCAGAACCCTCCTTATCTGACCAGAACCAGCCCTCCTTATCTGACCAGAACCCTCCTTATCTGATATATTTTACACACATAACCATTTACACTACTTTCCCACAAACCGTTCTTCAAATGGACATCCAGCCAATGTATCTTAAATAATACAAATCTATAAATATATCAAAATAAGTGGCGACAGGAAGTAAGCACGCCGCTGGCTTGATGCTGAAAAAACGCCTTGCCTCCAACTAGCAGCTGTAGTGTGGCCGGTCAGGAGAAGGGCTCTGTGGGAGGTAGTGTGGCCGGTCAGGAGAAGGGCTCTGTGGGAGGTAGTGTGGCCGGTCAGGAGAAGGGCCCTGTGGGAGGTAGTGTGGCCGGTCGGGAGAAGGGCCCTGTGGGAGGTAGTGTGGCCGGTCAGGAGAAGGGCTCTGTGGGAGGTAGTGTGGCCGGTCAGGAGAAGGGCCCTGTGGGAGGTAGTGTGGCCGGTCGGGAGAAGGGCCCTGTGGGAGGTAGTGTGGCCGGTCAGGAGAAGGGCCTGTGGGAGGTAGTGTGGCCGGTCGGGAGAAGGGCCTGTGGGAGGTAGTGTGGCCGGTCAGGAGAAGGGCCCTGTGGGAGCTAGTGTGGCCGGTCGGGAGAAGGGCCCTGTGGGAGGTAGTGTGGCCGGTCAGGAGAAGGGCTCTGTGGGAGGTAGTGTGGCCGGTCGGGAGAAGGGCCTGTGGGAGGTAGTGTGGCCGGTCAGGAGAAGGGCTCTGTGGGAGGTAGTGTGGCCGGTCAGGAGAAGGGCCCTGTGGGAGGTAGTGTGGCCGGTCGGGAGAAGGGCCCTGTGGGAGGTAGTGTGGCCGGTCAGGAGAAGGGCTCTGTGGGAGGTAGTGTGGCCGGTCAGGAGAAGGGCCCTGTGGGAGGTAGTGTGGCCGGTCGGGAGAAGGGCCCTGTGGGAGGTAGTGTGGCCGGTCAGGAGAAGGGCCTGTGGGAGGTAGTGTGGCCGGTCAGGAGAAGGGCCTGTGGGAGGTAGTGTGGCCGGTCAGGAGAAGGGCCTGTGGGCTGTGGGACGTAGTGTGGCCGGTCAGGAGAAGGGCCTGTGGGCTGTGGGAGGTAGTGTGGCCGGTCAGGAGAAGGGCCTGTGGGCTGTGGGACGTAGTGTGGCCGGTGAGGAGAAGGGCCTGTGGGCTGTGGGAGGTAGTGTGGCCGGTCAGGAGAAGGGCTCTGTGGGAGGTAGTGTGGCCAGTCAGGAGAAGGGCCCTGTGGGAGGTAGTGTGGCTGGTCAGGAGAAGGGCCTGTGGGAGGTAGTGTGGCCAGTCAGGAGAAGGGCCTGTGGGCTGTGGGACGTAGTGTGGCCGGTCAGGAGAAGGGCCTGTGGGCTGTGGGAGGTAGTGTGGCCGGTCAGGAGAAGGGCCCTGTGGGAGGTAGTGTGGCCAGTCAGGAGAAGGGCTCTGTGGGAGGTAGTGTGGCCAGTCAGGAGAAGGGCCCTGTAGGCTGTGGGAGGTAGTGTGGCCGGTCAGGAGAAGGACCCTGTGGGAGCTAGTGTGGCCGGTCAGGAGAAGGGCCTGTGGGCTGTGGGAGGTAGTGTGGCCGGTCAGGAGAAGGGCCTATGGGAGGTAGTGTGGCTGGTCAGGAGAAGTGCTCTGTGGGAGGTAGTGTGGCCGGTCAGGAGAAGGGCCTGTGGGAGGTGCTCGTTGCTAACTGGGTCGACCAAACTCTCTCTCTCCGTAATACCATCTCTGTCTCTCAGGCAGGTGTGTAGTGCAGTGACCCAGTCCTGTGTTGCTCAGGCCGGGTGTTGGTAGCAGGTAAAATAACTCTCTCTCTCTACTCCATCCCTCTCTCAGGCAGGTGCGTAGCGCGGTGACCCTGTCCCGTGAGGCCTCAGGCCGGGTGTTGGTAGAGACCGTACTGGGAGAGGAGCTAGTGGCTCTCCAAGAGGCTGACAGCGGGGTGCAGCGGCTGGGGAGGGGAGAGCCCTGGACTGGGGAGAGGAGTGCCCTGTGGCTGGGGGTCCAGGGCCTAGCCTTCACCCTGGTCACTGAGCCCCATGAGAACCTGCTTCTGGCTGAGGGAACCCTGAAGAACATCACCAGACATTGTCTGGAACATCTACGCATGCTTGGGCCTGGGAGCGAGGTGAGAGGTGAGAGGTGTGAGGTGTGAGGTGTGAGGTGTGAGGTGTGAGGTGTGAGGTGTGAGGTGAGAGGTGAGAGGTGAGAGGTGAGAGGTGAGAGGTGAGAGGTGAGAGGAGTGAGGAGTGAGGAGTGAGGAGTGAGGTGAGAGGAGTGAGGAGTGAGGAGTGAGGAGTGAGGTGAGAGGTGAGAGGTGAGAGGTGAGAGGTGAGAGGTGAGAGGTGAGAGGTGAGAGGTGTGCCAGATGGTCTAGATTAATGTTGTCACTGGGGCTATCTTCTCTGTTCTTCATTTAGAAGAATATACAGAAATATATGGCTCTGGACACAACCTGAAAAACACTGGGTCCTAATTGATCACTGTGGATTGAGGAGAAGGAGTAGCAGAGTCTTTAGGTGTTTTAAACATCAATGGAGTTTGTGTTGGGCCAGGTAGGGCTTGTCAGGTTGGGATGGGGCCAGGTAGAGTTTGTCAGGTTGGGATGGGGCCAGGTAGGGCTTGTCTGCTTGGGATGGGGCCAGGTAGGGCTTGTCAGGTTGGGATGGGGCCAGGTAGGGCTTGTCAGGTTGGGATGGGGCCAGGTAGGGCTTGTCTGGTTGGGATGGGGCCAGGTAGGGCTTGTCCGGTTGGGATGGGGCCAGGTAGGGCTTGTCAGGTTGGGATGGGGTCAGGTAGGGCTTGTCAGGTTGTGATGGGGCCAGGTAGGGCTTGTCAGGTTGGGATGGGGCCAGGTAGGGCTTGTCAGGTTGTGTTGGGGCCAGGTAGGGCTTGTCCGGTTGTGTTGGGGCCAGGTAGGGCTTGTCAGCTTGTGTTGGGGCCAGGTAGGGCTTGTCAGGTTGGGATGGGGCCAGGTAGGGCTTGTCAGGTTGTGTTGGGGCCAGGTAGGGCTTGTCAGCTTGTGTTGGGGCCAGGTAGGGCTTGTCAGGTTGGGATGGGGCCAGGTAGGGCTTGTCAGGTTGGGATGGGGCCAGGTAGGGCTTGTCAGGTTGTGTTGGGGCCGGGTAGGGCTTGTCAGGTTGTGTTGGGGCCGGGTATGGCTTGTCAGGTTGGGATGGGGCCAGGTAGGGCTTGTCACATTCTGTTGGACCAGGTAGGGCTTGTCAGGTTGTGTTGGGACCAGGTAGGGCTTGTCATGTTGTGTTGGGGCCAGGTAGGGCTTGTCATGTTGTGTTGGGGCCAGGTAGGGCTTGTCAGGTTGTGTTGGGGCCAGGTAGGGCTTGTCAGGTTGTGTTGGGGCCAGGTAGGGCTTGTCAGGTTGTGTTGGGGCCAGGTAGGGCTTGTCAGGTTGTGTTGGGACCAGGTGGTGCTTGTCAGGTTGTGTTGGGGCCAGGTAGGGCTTGTCAGGTTGTGTTGGGCCAGGTAGGGCTTGTCAGGTTGTGTTGGGACCAGGTAGGGCTTGTCATGTTGTGTTGGGGCCAGGTAGGGCTTGTCAGGTTGTGTTGGGGCCAGGTAGGGCTTGTCAGGTTGTGTTGGGGCCAGGTAGGGCTTGTCAGGTTGTGTTGGGGCCAGGTAGGGCTTGTCAGGTTGTGTTGGGGCCAGGTAGGGCTTGTCAGGTTGTGTTGGGGCCAGGTAGGGCTTGTCAGGTTGTGTCCTGGCAGTAAAGACGTCTGAATAGCTAATCAATGGCTACCTACGACGGACGCACTGACTATACACATTCACAGGTCTCTATCAACATACACCCTCACATTCACACATATTCAGCATAAATACTGCATTTGTAAAGTATTCAGACCCCTTCCCTTTTTCCACATTTTGTTACGTTACAGCCTTATTCTAAAATGGATTAAAGAAAAAAATATCTACATCAATCTACACACAAACCCCATAATGACAAAGCGAAAACAGGTTTTTAGAAATCTTTGCAAATATATTAAAAAATAAACATAAGTAAGTATTCAGAGCATTTGCTATGAGACTTGAAATTGAGCTCAGGTGCATCCTGTTTCCATTGATTATCCTTGAGATGTTTCTACAACTTGATTGGAGTCCACCTGTGGTAAATTCAATTGATTGGACATGAGTTGGAAAGGCACACACATGTCTATGTAAGGTCCCACAGTTGACAGTGCATGTCAGAGCAAAAACCAAGCCATGAGGTCAAAATAATTGTCTGTAGAGCTCCGAGACATGATTGTGTCGAGGCACAGAACTGGGGAAGGGTACCCAAAACATTTCTGCAGCATTGAAGGTCCCCAAGAACACAGTGGCTTCCATCATTCTTAAATGGAAGAAGTTTGGAACCACCAAGACTCTTCCTAGAGCTGGCCGCCCAGCCAAACTGAGCAATCGGGGGAGAAGGCCTTGGTCAGGGAGGTGACCAAGAACCCGATGGTCACTCTGACAGAGGTCCAGAGTTCCTCTGTGGTGATGGGAAAACCTTCCAGAAGGACAACCATCTCTGCAGCACTCCACCAATCAGGCCTTTATGGTAGAGTGGCCAGACGGAAGCCACTCCTCAGTAAAAGGCACATGACAGCCCGCTTGGAGTTTGCCAAAAGGCACCTAAAGACTCTCAGACCATGAGAAACAAGATTCTCTGGTCTGATGAAACCAAGATTGAACTCTTTGGCCTGAATGCCAAGCGTCACGTCTGGAGGAAACCTGGCACCATCCCTACGGTGAAGCATGGTGGTGGCAGCATCATGCTGTGGGGATGTTTTTCAGGGACTGGGAGACTAGTCAGGATTGAGGCAAAGATTAACGGAGCAAAGTACAGAGAGATCCTTGATGAAAACCTGCTCCAGAGCACTCAGGACCTCAGACTGGGACGAAGGTTCACCTTCCAACAGGACAACGACCCTAAGCACACAGCCAAAACAACGCAGGAGTGGCTTCGGGACAAGTTTCTGAATGTCCTTGAGTGGCCCAGCCAGAGCCCGGACTTGAACCCGATCAAACATCTCTGGAGAGACCTGAAAATAGCTGTGCAGCGACGCTCCCCATCCAACCTGACAGAGCTTGAGAGGATCTGCAGAGAAGAATGGGAGAAACTCCCCAAATACAGGTGTGCCAAGCTTGTAGCGTCATACCCAAGAAGACTTGAGGCTGTAATCGCTGCCATAGGTGCTTCAACAAAGTATTGAGTAAAGGGTCTGAATACTTATGTAAATGTGATATTTCCATTTATTTTTTATTTTTATACATTTGCTAAAATTTATAAAAACCTGTTTTCGCTTTGTCATTATTGGGTATTGTGTGTAGATTGATTGAGGGAAAGAACAATTTAATCTATTTTAGAATAAGGCTGTAACACAACAACGTGGAAAAAGTCAAGGGGTGTGAATACTTTACGAATGCACTGTTTTGTCAAAATTGCCAATTGATGGACAGCAATATTCAAACCTTATCTCTGATTTCCAAGCACATTTATGTCAGAGCTGAGACTGGACCATTCAGGAACACTCAACACTTCTTGGAAAGCCATTATGGCGTGTCTTTGGCATTAACATTTGTGTAATTATCCAAGGGTATTCAGAAGACTGAGGCAGGCCTTTTTAAGTATTTCAAGTATTTTGGTGGCATCATGTTTTGGGTATGGCTTGTCACTGACATGGACTGAGGAGTTTGTCAGCATCAAAATAAATATGAACGGAGCAAATCCAAGGAAAACCTGCCTGTCGTCTGAAAACCTAACCCTGTGATAGAGGATTTATTTTCCAGTGAGACAATTACATAATGTTTAATGCCAAAGACACACCAGAATTTTTTTCTCCAAGAGGTGTTGCGTGTTCCTAAGTGGTAACAGCATCCGTCCTGATTTAAATTTGCTGTGAAAATCTGAGAATATTTCTGTCCCAACCAAACGTATTGAGCTTGATCCAACTGGATTATTGTTGCCCTAAGAGTTGTGCAAAGTTAGCACAATCTTATTCAAAATTATTCACATCAAGTATTAACTCTGTGGTGTGGAGACATACGCAATCAAGACGTCTTCGTCATTTAAAAAAATCATTTGGAGAAATAAAATCATAATTGAACTTAACTTTGAAAATGTGGAGTAGGTTGTGTAGGTAAAATATGAATTCCTGTTTAAGACTGCTAGGGTGTATAGACTCTAGCTAACAGTCTCTGGTTTTATTTCTATCTGAACTAGTGTTAAGTCCTTGTTTGTTTTTTAAGATCTGGATTCTCTATTTCGTACCTGAATTCTCTGGATTGTGAGGAAGTATTTTGTTATATGGTTTGCACCTGTAGTTTTCTCTGCATGTGACAAATACACTTTGATTGATTTTGTTGTATTCTTCAGGTCCTGTTGAAGAGTGACCGTATCGATGTCCTGCTCCACCGTCTGTTGCCCCACGGTCAGCTGCTGTTCCTCAACCATCGCTTCACCCAGAGTCTGGAGAAGGAGCTGGCGAATTACATGGCCCAATGAGAGAGAAGGAGCTGGCTAATTACATGGCCCAATGAGAGAGAAGGAGCTGGCGAATTACATGGCCCAATGAGAGAGAAGGAGCTGGCTAATTACATGGCCCAATGAGAGAGAAGGAGCTGGCTAATTACATGGCCCAATGAGAGCGAAGGAGCTGGCTAATTACATGGCCCAATGAGAGAGAAGGAGCTGGCTAATTACATGGCCCAATGAGAGAGAAGGAGCTGGCTAATTACATGGCCCAATGAGAGAGAAGGAGCTGGCTAATTACATGGCCCAATGAGAGAGAAGGAGCTGGCTAATTACATGGCCCAATGAGAGAGAAGGAGCTGGCTAATTACATGGCCCAATGAGAGAGAAGGAGCTGGCTAATTACATGGCCCAATGAGAGAGAAGGAGCTGGCTAATTACATGGCCCAATGAGAGAGAAGGAGCTGGCTAATTACATGGCCCAATGAGAGAGAAGGAGCTGGCTAATTACATGGCCCAATGAGAGAGAAGGAGCTGGTTAATTACATGGCCCAATGAGAGAGAAGAGGACGGCATATTATTGCCAAATATTATTGTCAACATTAGGCACCAAACGGCCGGTCTGAAACGGTCCAGCTCTCTCTCTCTCTCACCAAACGGCCGGTCTGAAACGGCCCGGCTCTCCCTCTCTCTCTCTCTCACCAAACAGCCGGTCTGAAACGGTCCGGCTCTCTCCCTCTCTCTCTCTCTCACAAAACAGCCGGTCTGAAACGGTCTTCATCTCTCCATCTCTCTCTCTCCCTCACCAAACGGCCGGTCTGAAACGGTCTTCATCTCTCCATCTCTCTCTCACCAAACGGCCGGTCTGAAACGGCCAGATGCCATCCAAACGTTATTTTTTTTGTTAGTTTTTTGCATGTTTTCGTTTAATGTTGAAAATATTTTTTTTTACGCCGCTCTCTAATGAACACTACCCTCGGAGGAGTAGGAGCTTCTTCTCTCTCTCTTGGGATACCATGGGCAGGAAGTGAAGAACAGAAAGACACAGCTGGACAGCTATCCATTGATTGTCTGTATGTATATTTACATTTGAGTCATTTAGCAGACGCTCTTATCCAGAGCGACTCACAGTTAGTGAATACATATTTTTTTATACTGGCCCCCCGTGGGAAACGAACCCACAACCCTGGCGTTGCAAACGCCATGCTCTATCAACTGAGCTACATCCCTGCCGGCCATTCCCTCCCCTACCCTGGACGACGCTGGGCCAATTGTGCGCCGCCCATGAGTCTCCCGGTCGCGGCCGGCTGCGACAGAGCCTGGATTCGAACCAGGATCTAGTGGCACAGTTAGCACTGCGATGCAGTGCCTTAGACCACTGCGCCACTCATATATGTATATGTGTGTGTGTTTATATATATATATGTATATGTATATGTATGTATGAACAATGGAGTCATGACTGTGACCATCCAGGAGATGGCGCTATCATCTTGTGGAATTTAACCTTTGTGGCAGAGATCTACCAATCAAATAATATTTGTCACATGCGCCGAATACAACAGGTGTAGACCTTACCGTGAAATGCTTACTTACAAGCCCTTAACCAACAATGCAGTTTTAAGAAAAATTAGAGTTAAGAAAATTTTTACTAAATAAACTAAAGTAAAACAACAATTTAACACAATAAAATAACAATAATGAGGCTATATACAGGGGGTACCGGTACCGAGTCAATGTGCGGGGGTACAGGTTAGTGGAGGTAGTTTGTACATGTAGGTAGGGGTAAAGTGACTATACATAGATAATAAACAGTGAGTAGTAGCAGTGAGAACAGTCTATGACTAGGGCGGCTGGAGTCTGACAATTTTTGGGACCTTCCTCTGACACCGCCTGGTATAGAGGTCCTGGATGGCAGGAAGCTTGGCGCCAGTGATGTACTGGGCCGTACGCACTACCCTCTGTAGTGCCTTGTGGACGGAGGCCAAGCAGTTGGCACACCAGGCAGTGATGCAACCAGTCAGGATGCTCTCAATGGTGCAGCTGTATAACCTTTTGAGGATCTGAGGACCCATGCCAAATCTTTTCAGTTTCCTGATGGGGAAAAGGCATTGTCTTGTCCTCTTCACGACTGTCTTGGTGTGTTTGGACCATTATAGTTTGTTGGTGATGTGGACACCAAGGAACTTGAAGCTCTCGACTCTCAATCACCTTGGAACACTGGGTATGTTGTTTAAGGTGAAATATGGAAAAAAATGTTGATTGATATGTTGCATCTGTGACTGACTTAATTAATTAATCCCCCCCTAATTTGCTCCAGGGGCACTGTACTACTATGGCTGACCCTGTAAAACAACACATTACACTGGACCTATCATACTACTATGGCTGACCCTGTAAAACAACACATTACACTGGACCTATCATACTACTATGGCTGACCCTGTAAAACAACACATTACACTGCACCTATCATGGCTGACCCTGATCCCTGCCGGCCGCGACCGGGAGTCCCATGGGCGGCGCACAATTGGCCCAGCGTTGTCCAGGGTAGGGGAGGGAATGGCCGGCAGGGAATAAAAAAAATAAAAAAAAATAATGTATGCACTCACTAACTGTAAGTCGCTCTGGATAAGAGCGTCTGCTAAATGACTAAATTGTAAAATGTAAAGGACCAGGTGTAAAATACTATTCCCATATCTTAATGTCTCCACTAGAGGGCAGTGTTTGACCAGGCATTATCTGCAGTAGGAGGTTTATGTCTGCATTGCTGAGGACGACTCGAGAGCTAAAGGAACATGGGTATTCATCTACACCCTGCCAGTGCCTTCAGGAAGTATTCACACCCCTTGACATGGGTATTCATCTTCACCCTGCCAGTGCCTTCAGAAAGTATTCACACCCCTTGACTTTTTCCACATTTTGTTGTGTTACAGCCAGAATTTCAAATTGATTAATTTTAGATGTTGTGTCATGACTGTAAGTCGCTTTGGATAAAAGCGTCTGCTAAATGGCATATTATATTATATAGTATATTATTATATATTAATATTATACTGGCCTACACACAATACCCAATAATGTCAAAGTGGAATTATGTTTTTCGAAGTTCTTTACACATTTATTAAAAGTGAAAAGCTGAAATGTCTTGAGTCAATAAGTATTCAACCCCTTTGTTATGGCAAGCCTAAATAAGTTCAGGAGTAAACATTTGCTTAACAAGTCACATAAGTTGCATGGACTCACTGTGTGTGTGCAATAATAGTGTTTAACATGATTTTTGAATGACTACCTCATCTCTGTACCCAACACATAAAATGATCTGTAAGTTCCCTCAGTCAAGCAGTGAATTTCAAAACACAGATTCAACCACAAAGACCAGGGAGGTTTTCCAATGCCTCGCAAAGAAGTGCACCTATTGGTAGATGGGTAAAAATGCAAAAAGCAGACATTGAATATCCCTTTGAGCATGGTGAAGTTATTAATTACACTTTGGATGGTGTATCAATACACCCAGTCACTACAAAGATACAGGCATCTTTCCTAACTCAGTTGCCGGAGAGGAAGGAAACCACTCAGGGATTTCACCATGGTGACTTTAAAACAGCTACAGAGTTGAATGGCTGTGATAGGAGAACTGAGGATGGATCAACAACATTGTAGTTACTCCACAATACTAACCTAATTGACAGAGTGAAAAGAAGGAAGCTTGTACAGAATAAAAATATTCCAAAACATGCATTCTGTTTGCAATAAGGCTCTGAAGTAAAACTGCAAAAAAATCTGGCAAAGAAATTAACTTTATGTCTTGAATACTAAGAATTATGTTTGGGGAAAATCCAACACAACACCGAGTTCCACTTTTCATATTTTCAAGCATAGTTGTCACGGTTTCGGCCGAGGCGGCCCCTCCTCCTTGTTCGGGCAGGCTTCGGCGGTCGTCGTCTCCGGAGTACTAGCTGCCACCGTTCGATGTTTCATGTTTGATTGGTTTTGTCTGTTTGTCACACCTGTTTAGTGTTTAGTCTCATTAGGCACCCTATTTAGTTCCTTGTGTTAGGTCAGGTGTTGTGTGTAATTGTTCTACTGTCGTGTGGTTGTTTGGTCCTCTGGATTTTTGTTTCTCTCTTATTTCGTGTTGATTAGAGAGTCCTGCACGTTGTGCACACTTACTTTGTACAGTTTAGTGTGCGTTTGATTTCGCCTGTGGCCTGTTGCCGTGTTTGGCGTGTACTACGGACTTTACTAAAGACCTTTGGATTTATATCTCTGTGTCCTGCGTGTGATTCCACATCCCACTACACTCCACTCCTGACAGAATTACACACCATCTCATGGAATCAGCAGGAGCACCCGCACCCACCGAGATCATGGAGGAGCGCCTTCGTGGTCAAGAAGATCGGATCAACCAAATCGGGCACGCCCTGGACCGGGTGATGAACACCCTCCATCGATGGGAGACCAGCGGGGTACCCACACCCCCACCTACCGCACCATCACCATCGGTCAGCCCGCCCGTCCAACTACCGGAACCCAGTGGGATTCGGCTCTCGCTCCCGAGGGCGTAGGACGGCACCGCTGCCGGGTGTCAGGGGTTCCTGTTACAAGTGGAACTCTACCTTGCCACCGTACACCCGGCGCCCTCGGGACACGAGAGCGTTTCCGCCCTCATCTCCTGTCTCACCGGCAAGGCGTTGGAGTGGGCCAACGCCGAATGGAGGAGAATAGACGCCGCCACTATCACCTATGCGGAGTTCTCCCGCCGCTTCCGTGCGGTCTTCGACCATCCACCAGAGGGGAAGGCGGCGCGGGAGCGTCTATTCTACCTCCGGCAGGGGATGAGGAGCGCTCAAGAGTTTGCGCTGGAGTTCCGGACTCTAGCGGCAGATGCAGGGTGGAATGAGCGGGCCCTCATAGACCACTTTCGTTGCAGCCTCCGGGAGGACGTCCGCAGGGAGTTGGCGTGCAGGGATACTACACTCTCATTTGACCAGCTGGTGGACATGGCCATTCGGCTGGACACCCTGCTC